CTGTTGGTAATGCCTCGGGGTTCCGGTGGGCATGTAAACAAATGCATAATGCTGCGCTATACTTTGCGGCCTCACCCGGTTGCATAGCGACGCTTATTGTTTAGGTGTCTTTTAATAAGCAGGTAGTCATATCATTAGCTAGAACTAGCTGGATCTGATCGATATGGACATAAACGCGAGTGAAGTCTAATCTGACGGGAGAGAGAGAGAGAGAGAGAGAGAGAGAGAGAGAGATCAGCTGCTGCTGACGAGTCGACACGCAGCTCTGCATGATCACCTGCAGCGGTGAGCGGACAAAACACACACTTCAGGTTAGAATATCACACTTAGCTATTTTAATTACCTCTCAAACTACCTAAACTAGTTATAGGTATACGTTTATTTGTACTGTCGGGTCACTCATTACTGGATCAGCGAGCTGCATGAGACGGATATTGACGGGCTGTCAGGAGAGGGAGAGAGCGCTCCGTTTATTATTTCTGTATTATTATAAGTTACTGTACACTTTTGAATGATGTAGTTAGTTTAATATCGAATCATATCAATTTGTTTTAAAGCTTAATAAATTACAAAGAAGACCTTTGACCGGCACTTTTCTCATTTTGTCCGGAAGATTTATTTTAAACGGACATGTTGACCAGCAAAAAAAACTGCATAGCAGGACACTTTAGTCGCTGTGGTATTCTGTGTCACCTTCAGAAAACACTTCAATTTGAAACCATCTAACTCATTAGTCATAATATGTAGTATTCTAGCTTATTACGGTTACTTATCTACGTAGGACAAATTGGCTAGAGACTGTTTTTATATTTAACCACTCTCTCGAAAGATATCCATAGTCTTTTGTCTGGTAAGTTAACTACTAACCATTATTAGACCAATGAATGTTGCTAATTGTGTGCCCTGGCCAAAAGTCCAATTCAGTTGGGTACATTTTCTAACATAATAGTCATTGTTTTTTCAGGCATAATGTTGGTTGAATTTTGCAATATAATATTTATTTTAATGTATTGTCACATACTGTGCTAACCCTAACCAACTTAGTTTTCTAGAAAGTCAGTCTGAACCCCACCCCCACTCACTAACACTAACCCTAACTGGGGGAATTTTAACTTATTGCTGATATTGCTGAAGTTTGGAAAGAATCAAGCTGGCCTATTTGTATGCTTTGCTTGCATAGTTTACATCTCAGAAATACATGTTTTGTAAGCTATATTTCTAGCTGGGAACTGTCAGCTGTTAGAAGTAGAGGGCGATAAAACCACTTTTTTATAATAATAATAATAATAATAATAAGTAATAGCAACAACTACAAAATATGAATACTAATGATAACAATTAACAACTTTAGGCATTTGGGTGCATCCCTATTGACCACATTTCCAACAGGTTCATTCAGACCTGCAGAGGGAATTTCTTGGAAATGAATAATATAAAATCTCAGGTCAATTTCCAGTAAGGTGGTTTTTGAGTGGGTGTGTTTTGTCCTGTTCTGAGGTTGCATTGCGTGTGATGACCTTTTTGTTAAGCTCTGCGAGGTTCAATGTGAGGAGAACCAATTATCCCGGCGGCAGTGTAAGTTATGCGTGAGAGTATAACATTCTTGCATGGTATATTTGAGACAAATGCATAACAAGTTAAATCTAGAGCACCCAAGAAACATCTCTTTCAGTGAGACTTCAATGATTGTCATAAAAAGAATGGCTATATTTGGAATCCGGTGACATTTTGATTTGCTCAAAACAAGATGTCAGAACAGAACCAGCAGCAAAACAGAAAGAAATAGTAAAATAATGAAGTTTGTCCAAAACGCTTCTGGGAAACCCGGTTTACAATGCTGACCACAGATGTCTTGCTAATCAGCGCCCTCTGGCATTGACACCAGGATACTGTGGCTTCCTTTATTTCATTCATTAACACCAATAAGATGCATATTCGCTTCCAAACTCGTTGTGATATCAGCAAGTCACGGTTGTACGAACACGTCTGAAACTTACATTTCAAGTGGACAGAGATGAACGGGTCTTAAAGTGTGTGTCAATTGGATATTTCGCTAAGGATAACAACAATAACACAAATAACGCAATATGATGCATCTATTACCAACACTTCATTCCAGATGAATAAAATCTCCCTTTAAGCACTTTATTATTATTACTATGAAGTCAAATTATTATAAATATCTCAAAAGACTCCAGACCACAGATAGAAATATCAAGAATTCCATAACAATGGAGACATCCCAGATGTTACGGACCTCTTCCAGATGTGATCTTGTAAATAAAATCGCAGTATTAATTTCGATCAGGAAATGTTTTAGATTTCAAAATGTATGCAGCAAAGCTATCCAGATAACTCAGTAAACCTGTTCCCGGTCAATACTGATGGCTACGATTAGCCACTAAAGTGCTGACACACACATAACCACAAAGCATTCCGAGCCTTTTTTAGATTTTGTGAGGCCTCGGGGAACAAATTGTTTGCATGAAAACCATAAAATAACTATGCATATTACGTGAATGCATGGGAGTGTTTGCTTGTAAAACAAACCCATCATTAAGAGCTTGCATGACAAATGTCTGGAAGGTGAAATGCTTGTAAGAGCCCGGCTTGTACAGTGTGAATGTTCCTCATTGTTTTTCCTGGAAATGAACTACCCCGATTGGACTTTGTTACCAAGATGAAAGGCTCATGAATGCTAATGAGCACTGATTTCAGACACTGTTTAATGAGGGCTTCAAACTAATTAGAAAGTCCTGTCTAAATTCATTGTCTTACACTTCTGGTTTAGTTAGACTCATTTAGTTTCATGTATGTGGATGAGGGACGTAGCCTCTGTTGAGATGTCATTTCCGTCTTTTGCTGTTGTGTCTGTCTTTTTAAGTTATAAATGTGATTCCTATATTGAACACGTTAGACAGTTGTTAGGGTTTCCCACACATAGACTATACTTGGGCGGGCCGCCCAGGTATATTAACGGCCGCCCAAGTATATTTCGCGACCCATTTAGGTTTTTAAAAAAAATGTTTTTAATATTCTTTTTTTTTTATTCGTCCGTGACCACGACGCCATCTGCGATCGATTAACTTGTAGACAATGATCCCTCGCTCCCTTGCTCTGATCTCGTCTCCTTCTGGCCTGTTAAGTGGCCTGCCTCACACAGGGTGACTGGCTGTCCACATGATGTGGCCTGCCGACATGGCCACTGTCATACAGATCATAAATCAAAGCCCTTGATTGGTCTCTGTGTGTCTTTCAAGCTCGGGATAACCTCAGCTCAGGTGAGGTAAAGCACTCTCTGAGTGTTTAGATAGTTAACTTAGTCTAAGTTCTCAGTGGGTCTCAAACGGTGTGGTCACCATTTATGTAAACACATATTTCCATTTGAGAGGGTAGTGATTGGTCTAATGCAGTGCTTCTCAAAGTGTGGTCGTGGACCACTGGTGGTCCGTGAGCGCCCCCTAGTGGTCCGTGAGTATATTGGTAACATTTCACATTTGAAATAAATAAATACATTTCAGTTTCCCGCACTCTCGCGGGAATATCTCTGCAATGGAGCGAGGTTAAGTTTCACTTTCGATTGCATGATATAGCCCAGCGCAACACCTTCATCACACATGTTGCCACTTGTTTGTACCATTTTCAGGCGATTTGTAATCTGTTCTAGAACAACGATGTGTCTTTTGATATTTGTGGAGTTAGGTGGTCCGCGAGTGTTTTTTTATTGGTTAAGTGGTCCTTGGAATGAAAAAGTTTGAGAAACACTGTTCTAATGGATAGTGAGGTGGGCTGAAGATTGGAAGGCTGTGAGTTCAAATCCCGCCAGGAACACCACCACTGAGTAAGGCACTTAGCCCTTAGTTACTCCAGGGAGAATGTCCCTGTAATCGGTCATTATAAGTCGCTTTGGATAAAAGCGTCAGCTAAATGAAATGTAATGTGATTAGTTAAATATGCATGAATAAATAAATAAAAAGTTAACTAGGTGAAAAAAGGTAAGATACACTTTTAAAACTTGTTGAGAGAAAACTAGTCTTTGCTGCTGCCTCAAAGAGGAGCAGGGGGGAGAGGCTGATTCAGGAGCACAGACACACTCACAACTATAAATGAACCAAAAATTAATTAATAAACAAGTTTCAGTGTTTTTTTCATATTGGAAATGGTATGTTATTGGTTATGGCCATGATTTTATGATTATTTAAATGTATACAGTTCTGTTTAATATAGGTGTTCCCATAGATCTAGTCTCTTTATTTTCCCCTCAAAATGCACCAGATTGATGCATTTAACTCCAAAATAAAAAATAAAATCTTACCGGGGGGGCATGCCCCTGGACCCCCCCTAGAGGATTTGAGGTCGACCCCCACTAAAAATCACATGGATAGGTTCCTAAATACATTAATTTTTTTAAATAGTAAATCATTTCCATATGTTCATGTGTGGGTAGTAGATTTAAACTATAGGGCTATCATTATGGGCCCTGCCTGTACCTGTACCTGTACCTGTTCGCTCTGCCATCGCGTGAAGTGTCTGCTAACAAGCGACCAACAGAAAGGTTAATGTTAATGTTGTTGCACGTCACCTCAACCCCCCCCCCCCCCCCGCTACCACCACCCCCCAAAGTATATTTCAGATCTGTGGGAAACACTGGCAGTTAATGGACCAGCACCAGAGGCGTTCCCATACACACAGGCGTTGGAGCTGTTCTTCATGAAATCCCAGAAGGATGAAGTGCTCTGACAAACAGTGCCATCTTTGCGCAAAATGATATACCGGAATGAAAAGTCAATAAATAAACATGTTGTTAAAAATTTTTTTTTTTTTTTTTTTCGCCCAATGTTAGACATTTTTTGATGGGTGCTTTTTGTAGGAATATAAAGCTTTCTTTACTATACTCCATTGGAAGTACATACATGGTATCACCAGAGGTGTCTTTTCCTTGGACGATGGATCATTTTTACTGTAAATTAATGTTACTACTACAGTTTTTGTGTACTCACCCAGAGGCGATAAGGGCACGTGACTGAGCCATGGCGATTCGCTGCAGTGCAGGTCGGCTCAGCCCGGCGAGGCTGGACCGGGGGGGCAGGGGGGCTGCGCAGGCAGCGGCACCAGATGAAGACACCGGGCCCAGGACGCGGGCCGAAGGCGAGGGCGTGCAGGTGGAGGCGGCCGTGGAGATGAGAGGTGGACCTAGGGAGGGCACTGTAGGGGCGGAGCTCAAAATAGAGAAGGAGGACGAGGTGGAAGGGTGAGGGGTTGAGGTGGCAGAAGATGAGAGTGTGATGGAGGGCGGGGGAGGAGGAGGAGGAGGAGGAGGGGGGAGAGGTGGAGGAGGGGGGCGGGTGGAGTGGAGGGAGAGGGCGGCGGTGGCTGAGCCGAGGAGGGAAAGAGAGTGGGTGAAGCCTCCTCCGTAACCGAAACTGGCACTGCCATAACCACCGCCACCAACCGTCCCTACACCTCCTGCTCCACCCATACCACCTAGAGTGTAGCCACCTGTCGCACCAATTATGGACGTCCTGTGGGGGGAGAAGGACCGCGACAGGGAAGGAGGTCGAGGGAGAGTGAGTGAGTACGACCCTCCTTGGACAGGGTAGCTCATTTTGGGACTAGGTGGCTTGGTCTGTGGAGGTCTCCGCCCAAGAGTGTGAGCAGACATGGCGCCCGCTTTGACACTCAGCACCAGCATGCACTGCTGACAGGCGCAGGGCTGTCCTAAAGAGGTGATGGCGGAGGCAGGGAGCGCCCCACTGGGGTACGCGCTCCCATTTCCAGTCCCACTGTTGCTCATGCGGATCCCCATGCCCACTCCGGATACATCCACCCCAAGCAGTCCTCCATGGCTGGGCATGGCCATGGGCCCCCAGGCATGGTGGGATTTGGGTAAGGGCCCGGCAACCAGCGGGTACGCCAAGTCTGAGCGTCGCTGGATGCGTCGGCAGCGTTGCGTCTGCCCGTTGATTTGGGTCATGCTTTCGAAGTCAATGAGGTAGCAGAAACCCAGCGGCGCCAGGTCCAGCCAGGGCTGCTGGCGGTCGCGCGCGGCCTGGATGGCGATGCCCACCTCCGTGTCGTACGCCGTCCAACTGCCAGCGTCGTTCTCCCACTCCCACAACCAGCCCTGGCCAGGCGCCGAGGTGGGGTCGTAGAAGCTACGTCGTACCGGTCGAAGGGTACCTGGGGCAAAATGAGGGGGTCAGAACAAAGGATAAGATTTAAGCAACGTATAAAGTTTTTGACAATTGGAATAGCATAATTGGATATTTCAATGTGATAAATGTGTAACTAACTATTAGGTTTGCTCATCTTTCTTGAACTACTTTCATGATGCTTGGTGATGAGAAGTAGTTGCAATAGGAAGTGGCCTTTTTCACTGTGGACAAGAAGATTGGAACCTTAACAAATTCAACATGTCTGTGTTTGCTTGCTAAGAATTTGGGCAAACAGGTTGCCCCTAGTAACAGCACATGGTGTGCTGAATTCTGATTGGCTGGCAGCCTTGATCCGACCCAAAGCTGGCTGTGTTTGCTTTCCCATGGTGTCCAGAGAAACTCTAGAGTGGACATACTGTAAAGCCTTTACAAATCAAATCCTGCGTCTGAAACATAAAGGACCGCAAAGATTTCTCGAAGATGGGAGAGCTTGGATCTAAAAACGAGATAGGAAACCTTTTTGGGATGGCAAGGCAGTTTTGCAGTGCATTTTACTGTACACATATCATAGCCCTAACACATTTGACTGTATAGTTAAGCATTTCAAATACATATAACATCAAAAATATAGCGCAAAGCCCACTGGGAAAATAATGTAACTCACAGTGAAACAATTAGATATAACACTTCACTGGAATGTGTACCATGTGTACCATTGACATTTAACCAGACAACAAAGGCACTCATTCATAAGATCTGCTCCCATCGACCCCATTTTATCAATGACCTCAGACTCCTGAAATTCTTCCCCACCCTTGTCCCCCGTCTCTCCTCCTCCACCCTGTCTCCTATTTAGACTAGGGCACAATGCCTGACTCCCCTTAGTTGAGCTTCTGCTGGGTTTGGAAAACAAACTTCACAAAGGATTTTGTCAGCTAATGTTGAGAGAGAGGGGAGATGTTGGGTTGTGTGCCAAAGTTAGACATCTGAGAACTGACAATTCCCTGCTTTGCCTTACTGCTGTGCTTGCTTCTCTTTTATGCCCATATTCTGCCATTAAAGACAGTGATCGCCTTAAAAAAATAATAATCAGTGTCTGTGGCAATGACTGGACATTTTAGCTCCTACTCTGGCCTAGGTGACATATCCAAACTCACACAGGTCCTACCAGAATGGCTCTCTTCACACCTCAAACACACAGAGAATGTCTTTTAAATGTAAAATAACATAGGAAACTAGGGTTCTATCAATCTAAAATAAAACAATAATGACTAGATGTTATTGCTGCAGGAAAAATAAGCCGCACTTTGCAGCAAAACAGCCCCACCAGGGCATCAACTTCTGGAGCAGAATCAACATATGGGCTTGCAAAGATGAGGTAGACACACATAAGCAATAAAAAGGCCTCTACCTCAGGCCCATGCAGCTCCACCGTCACACCCTCCGCCCCTGTGGCTCTCCTCTCTGCTTCTCACCTGTGTCTTGTCGGAACTGGTGCATGGAATGCAAATCGATGATGTAAGGCGAGAGGCGAGAGTCCACCTGGCCGAGGACAACACTACCACACCGCGGGTCGCTCCGGATGACTGCCTCGATGTGATGACAGACAGCCGGGCTGTAGGGCCGCCAGCGACCGTGCTCGTTCAGCCATTCCCATACCACTACGGCGGATGCTAGTAACATCCTACTCCTGCAAAGGGAGAAAAATAACACTGACAATAAGCAGGCATAAAGCTAAACGCGGGGTCGGTGGGCATTTAAAGACACCCTGCTGACGCTCCGCCGTGCATCCCTGCGCACAGCGGCGCTGCATCCATCTTGGACAGTTTGCAACCCAGATGTGTCTATGGATATAAATGTATATTTTTAGCATGACACTGATGCAAACTGTACCTTCCATGTTTGTAGTTTCGGTTATGCAGCAATGGTAGGTCCTTTTATCACACGGCGAATGTACAGAGAGTTTCAGGGCACAAAAAGCCTAGCAGGATGGTTGCATTTTACTCCCTATGCAGATGAGTGACGTCTACTGAAATCATTTCTCCGGCACAATCAAGTTAGGGTGAGAGGAGAAAATGTAACTTGGATGCTCACGGTGGTGCGGCACTCGTGAAGTAGGTTACAGTGACAGACTTGCTCTGTTCGTGCAGTGCAAGGTTGCACATTTGTTTTACAAAATCTGTGCTGTCTGTGAGGGAGGAAGAGATTCTTGAAAGCAAATAGCTGACATATTTACCGGGTAAGATCGGCTCCAGTCAGTTCGTTCCTTTGGAGAACAGTTTTGATGCTTTATTAAAAAATGATCTGTCTGTCACTGGGCGAATGTCTTCAGTCTCAGTAAAATCCCGTATTTCTGGTTACATAATTGCTTTGATAATGTGTCACTACAGTTGTGTTTACTTTGACTCGGGCTTACTCATTGGTTCATGCCTAATGTCTCGACAGAAAGGCTCTTACCCACCACTGAACATAATTTTGCCGGTGAAAAATAAATGTTTGGCACTCGCGTGGGTGAACCCTCCCACACTCACCTCTCCTCGAAGTCCTCAAACATCCAATCAGATTTGAGCAAGTGCTCCGTCTGGCCAATCACAAATGTGTCTCGTAGACCTTGTTCACTGTATCACAAATATGAACTGCGTGTTGAAAATATGTATTGTGAGTTTGTTTTAATGGGAGGTTGAAGCACATTTAAACTTTCCTTTTCCCATCATGTTAGATATTTAGTAGGAAAGAATCTTCCATAAAATGAGTGGAGATGCCGGGGATTGAACCCGGGACCTCATACATGCGAAGCATGCGCTCTACCACTGAGCTACATCCCCATTGGCTAACTACTGACCAGTAAGATAGTATATATTGTTCTATAAGGGATGGTTATGTATATTTACTATTTTTGCATTTATGGTGCGTAACAACAACACTGTTTATCGACTACTCTTCAATATATTCAATAAACAGAGAAGTAAGTCGAATATTTGAATGTAGGTCAATGGGGTTGAGTTTTTAGTAGCCTTTCCCTGGATCTAGTTCCTTTTCAAGGTGTATTAACCGACCTAATGGTATAGTTTTTGCTGTCCTACTATCAATGTAGCCTATATGACTTTCATGATTTACTTTTGATAGACAGCAATAATTTAACTACTCAATACAGTAATCATTTGAAGCTGCAAGTAAGTGTCGTTTTATATTGTTGATATTTAGCATTCTCAATTAATCATTAAAAACTCAGTCCAAAATATGTTTTATCACTTGCAACTCTGTGCTTATCTGAGAAGTTGGAGCCATTTTTTTTTTGTTGCTAAAAAAGTAACCATTTGATAAAAAAAACGTCTGTGGATCGTTAAATCAATTAATTGTCAAATACAGTGTTCCAAGAAAGAGTCTTAAATCAATCGTCTTGAGGTCCATGGGTTTCTTGGTAAATACCATAAAGGCTTTTTTAGATTCAGAACAACACAAACAGTCAAAATTATGGGTTTCTGTTTTTAATTTTTTTGAAAATCAGGAAAAAACATTTAAAGCAATACAAAAAGCATAAACAAATACACAGCATGCTATTGGCTGACACAATAATACAACGTTTCAGACTAGTTTTACTTTATAAAAAGGTAAACTTTTATACTATCTGATGCCTCAAAAGTAAGTCACATCAGGACAATGTATACAATATCTTTTTAGGTGGAATGTATTGGTTTTGAGCTATTAAACACTTGTGTGGATGTTTTTAGAGGGAACCAAGAGATGTTCCCTAGTAAAAAAGAGAACCTATATGTTGGGTAATAAAATGTATAGAAAATATATTTAACCAGATAATTATGGGACATTACTAAGGACAATTTCCCAAGCCTCTCTTGTATTAAATGTTTTAAATTATGTTCTCACAGTGCAGTGATATCACGGTTCTTACCCTCACCTCCCTCTTCCTCAGACCAGATTGCACTTCCAGAGAACTGCTTTAGATCTACCAACAATCCAGCCCCTCCACTTGCTTCCCCTTTACCTTCCCCATCATCCCCTTTCTCCTCTATCTCTCCCTTTGCCGTTGACTGACCCGTTAGCCTGGCTGGCTCCTCTGCTTCAGAACTCTCCACACTTGAGTTATCATCTGAGGTGTCACCATCTTTTTCCTTCGCCATACTACGCTGCTCCTCGTCATTTTCCTCCTCGTCCTCCTCATCTCCCTCGCTGTCACTCTCCTGGCTACCACCGTCCTCCACCTGTCCCTCCTCAACTTGGACTTCCTGCATTTCTTCTCCGTCATCATCACGTTGAGGCCACAGTTGGACCCCAAAACGTGTCCCCAGAGCTAACGCTGTCCCTCTCACACGATCCCTGACCCCTCCATCCTTATACACCATGCGTCGCACAGTATATTCTCCATTGGCGTCCCTGTTCAACTTCTTGTACAAGAGGACCAGCAATACTATTAAGCATAATAGGCAGAAAAAAAGGATCAGCACAGTCGGGGTGGACGTTTTGTAGGTGACTTCAGCCATGCCTGAAGGGAACAGAGAGAGAGAGAGAGAATGGTCAAGCATGGGATTAATTAATATCTATAAATGTTTTTCTATGCAGTGTCACTGTCTCTTGGGTTAGAAGATATAGTTAAAAAAAAGATTTTTCTTGTCTCTAACGTCACTCTCTTGTAGCTGAAGTAACTAGTTAGTATATATAACATGTATACTTGAAACAGATGGCAACAGCTTGCTTTGCTCTGTGCACAGACTTGAAAAAATTATGGCCAATAAAAAATACAACATTGTTGTTTTTACATTTCAGTTTTTGCGCAGCCAGCTAGCCTGTAGCAGTATGAAGCTACAGCAGCTTCATACTGCTACAGGCTAGCTGGCTGTAGCTTCATAGGGGTACAGACATGCCCGGCGCCGTGGGAGGGCCAGGGAGGACCAGGCCCTCCCATTTGACATTCCTGCCCTCCCCCAATAAACACGTTTTTTATTATTTATAAAAATTAAAAAATATATAAATTTTATTTTTTTAATTATAAATAAACTGAACTTTTATGCTACAATGTATGTGATGTCAGAACAAAAACAAAAAATCGCAGGCTACGTCAAATAAATGCATGTGTCTGTTGTGATTTGTGATTCGTCCCCATTTAGACCAATCACAGCGTCACACTCTCCCGCCTATTCTGGATTTGTTTATTGTGCATTCTGTAGACTCCCATTTCTGTTTGAATTACAAAATGGACATACAAAATTGGCTTAAAAGGTCTAAGGATTTATTCAAACGAAATAGCGATGAAAGAACTGCAGCCGATGGTGCTGCTGGCGACCCTGCACCTGCCGTTGCAGCAGCACGCCTTAATGTCACAAGCTTGACTTCGGCAAACCCCGGGGCTGAGTTAGCGATGATCTTGGGGTTAATAAACCCAAGCAGGTGAGGCTGGATCGTTATCCAGGGAGATTGTTTTCAGGAAAGAAGCACACTTTTGCCGCTGCATGGTACACAACAGACCATGGCTTGAAGATTCGTTAAAAGCAGACGCAGCCTTTTGTTTCCCCTGTAGACAGTTTAAAGTCAATACGTCTTCATCTGATGTGGCTTTTACTGTCAAAGGTTTTTGCGACTGGAAACACGCATTACAGACTGATAAAGGACTGCTTAAGCATGCCGCATCAAAAGAACACATTTCATGTGAGAGTTTGTGGAGAGAGAGAGACAAATACGCGAGGAAACACGGAGCCGTTATTACGTGTCAGCTGTCGTTGATATTATAGCTTTTTTAGCTGTCAACCAACTCCCTCTCAGATGTGACTCGATTCACTCCACAGCATGTCCGAGTGCAGTGCATAGGAACATAAACCATGCCCAAGGCGGGCTAAACAGTTCATCGTCTCCGTCTCTACTATTTCTCTCCGAGTGCAGCGATGAGGAAGCTGCCATCCGTAACCAGTGTGCCTTGCTCGTGATTTACCAGTGTCTGTGCTGCCACGCACACAATGTTTCAAAGTGGTTGCTATGTTGCCCTTTATTTGTGTATGTTTGCGATAAGTGTGCGTCTTTACGCAATGCTGTTGGCCTTGCTGTTTGATATATATTGTGCCGCAGGCCCGCAGCACGTGACGGTTTTGTGTGCCCTCCCATGCAAATCATATGCCCTCCCTTTAGATTTGTTCTGGCGCCGGGTCTGGGTACAGAGTGTGAGTGTGAAGCTACACTGAACAAAAATATAAACGCAACACTTTTGTTTTTGCTCCCATTTTTCATGATTAGACAGCATGATTATTGCACAGGTGTGCCTTAGGCTGGCCACAATAAAAGGCCACTCTGAAACGTGCAGTTTTGCTTTATTGGGGGGTCTGGGGGGGTCCGAAAACCAGTCAGTATCTGGTGTGAGGGGTAGGGTTAGGGTTAGGGTAATGTTGTGAATCGAGTGGCCTGTGTTCGTCGTCCATAACATACGCCTGCCCATACCATAACCCCACCATGGGCCACTCGATTCACAACATTACCCTAACCCTAACCCTACCCCTCACACCAGATACTGACTGGTTTTCGGACCCCCCCAGACCCCCCCAATAAAGCAAAAATGCACGTTTCAGAGTGGCCTTTTATTGTGGCCAGCCTAAGGCACACCTGTGCAATAATCATGCTGTCTAATCAGCATCTTGATATGCCACACCTGTGAGGTGGGATGGATTATCTCAGCAAAGGAGAAGTGCTCACTATCACAGATTTTTTCAGATTTGTGAACAATATTTGAGAGAAATGGTTATTTTGTGTATATAGAAAATGTTTTAGATCTTTGAGTTCATCTCATGAAAAATGGGAGCAAAAACAAAAGTGTTGCGTTTATATTTTTGTTCAGTGTATATCCCAAAAGGTAAAATCAATCTTTAAGTTAATTCGATTTGTTGGTTGTTGTTAAATTCTAGCATACATTTAGATGTAGTGTTCATATAAAAACAATTAAGGGTATTTAAGGGTATTATTTAAGGGTATTTGGCTGTTGGCTGATGCCAGCCAATGCAGATTTCAGGCAACAATAAGTAAGTTATCACACTTTATTCTGACAAAATTTAGGAACAATAGATTTTGAAAAATACTGTACCTCCTTATACTTTTCTTTCTGGAGTAGAAAAATCCTTCTGGCTTGGGGAATTTTGCAGTCAAACTCCTTTTGTGTCAAAGCAGTTGTTAATGGTTCATCAGAAGGAGAACCATTTGTAAAAGAATATTCAAGGTCTAGAAAAAAGAAAAGTAGAACCTTAGAACAACTTAACCTACAAGATTCTCCATCCAGTTCATTTTAATTGATCAAATTGAAGAAAAAAAAACAGATTACCAAGAATTGCCAAAAGCTCTGCTTAAAAAATACACTCTGAGGTGGTACTATATTTTGGCAGCTGCTCAATTTGAACAAAAAGTACTTTTCTTTTCAGAACTGACATCAAATCTCGATACAATTATAAAAACATATGTACAATCCATGTTGGCTGAAAAGTCACCAATGGTTAACATGTGCAATATGAACCCACCCTGGAGATGTGACAGGAAGTATTGTCTTTATCTTGTTTGACTGTGTATGAGAAGTCGTACTGCGTTGTCTCGGCTGAGAGGAAGCTGGCAGACCGCTCGCAGCGTTGCTGGTTTCCTGTCAAAGATTATTGAGCAGCATCAGTCAGTCTGCCGTGAAAGGAAACTTTTTTTAATCATGGTATAAAGATCCGAAACAAAGTGTTGCAACATCTCGTTTAAACAAAAAATAATAAGTATACTGATGTGAAATAAGTGCAATTAACATAAAAGCTTCAATGAATGAGGAAATTGAGATTGGCGGTAAATGAATGCCTTCATCACTTTCATTAAACAACCACTTAAAATAATAAAATATAAGTATCTAAACCAAGACATAAGTATATATAAAGTACAATTAAAGACGGAGACATGAGACATTCCTATAAAAAGGAAATAAATTAGAAAACATGCAGCTAAAAAAAAGATCTGGTCAAAATCTGAAAAAGGAAGGAAATAAACAATTTTACACTTACCCAGGTTGTGAGCAGAAGATTAAGTTTGTGCAGCCAGTACAATGGTAGGAAACTGACTTGTGCAACTTAATGTTCTTTTGTACTGTGTGACAGCATGTGTGTTAGTAGGTGTGTGGAGGTGACAGCGAGAAAAAGAGAGAGAGGGGGTGATGCATGAAATGTGGTGGAGAATGCTTGCTGCAGTCCTTTGAGTAGGTGGAGGCTGAAGGGGATGTGAACACAGATTATAGAAAAAAATTAAGCAGAGTGTGGTGGAAAGCACAGATAAGAACATGTAAAGAAAAAGAGGAAGACAAAGATATTTTAATTGTTCCCCTGTAAAGTTGCTATTTTCAATTCGCAGCACAGGTGCAGGTTACATTATATCGAGTGAAGTTTAAGAAAGGTCAAGTCATTCCAGTTTACCATCAGGAAATGTACATGATAGTCATTTCCTGTGACACATTCTTATCTTGGACAATCATTTGTCAGTGTATTGCCAATAATAACACTTCAACTCCACAAAGGATAGATAGGGTCAAGATGATATTTGAAAATAAAAAATAAAGTTCAACTTTTCACCTTTTGACATTACACTGAAAAAGGGTCTCAAATTGTTACATGAGTCCAAGACAACCATAGAAACTAAAGCATGATCCTAAAAATGATTCGATTGCAAAAATATGAAGGTTATTATCATACACTACCAATTTTAGACCTACTAAAGTACTGCGCACAACTTAGAAATGTGAAACAAGCCACATCCTGTTTTCAGCCCCTACACGTACAGTCATTTCACACTGTATCACCCTACATGAGAACATCTAACAGATCAATCATAATGTGTTATCAACTATTTTGCCATTTTAAGGCTAATTAAGATGCCTTATCTTGATTTTCTTTTCACTTTACCCATTGTTTGGTGTCTTCTTGTCTTTAAAAAATAGTTTTGCTTTCATATCTATAATTTTGCAAAGAAAATGGTGGTTTGATTATAATAGGTTCAGACAATTTCCAATAGTGTTTGTACAATACATACGAAACCAATATACACTGAACAAAAATATAAATGCAACACTTTTGTTTTTGCTCCCATTTTTCATGAGATGAACTCAAAGATCTAAAACATTTTCTATATACACAAAATAACAATTTCTCTAAAATATTGTTCACAAATCTGTAAAAATCTGTGATAGTGAGCACTTCTCCTTTGCCGAGATAATCCATCCCACCTCACAGGTGTGGCATATCAAGATGCTGATTAGACAGCATGATTATTGCACAGGTGTGCCTTAGGCTGGCCACAATAAAAGGCCACTCTGAAACATGTAGTTTTGCTTTATTGGGGGGGTCCGAAAACCAGTCAGTATCTGGTGTGACCACCATTTGCCTCACGCAGTGCAACACATCTCCTTCGCATAGAGTTGATCAGGTTGTTGATTGTGGCCTGTGGAATGTTGGTCCACTCCTCTTCAATGGCTGTGCCAAGTTGCTGGATATTGGCAGGAACTGGAACACGCTGTCGTATACGCCGATCCAGAGCATCCCAAACATGCTCAATGGGTGACATGTCCGGTGAGTATGCTGGCCATGCAAGAACTGGGATGTTTTCAGCCTCCAGGAATTGTGTACAGATCCTTGCAACATGGGGCCGTGCATTATCATGCTGCAACATGAGGTGATGGTCGTGGATGAATGGCACAACAATGGGCCTCAGGATCTCGTCACGGTATCTCTGTGCATTCACAATGCCATCAATAAAATGCACCTGTGTTCGTCGTCCATAACATACGCCTGCCCATACCATAACCCCACCACCACCATGGGCCACTCGATTCACAACATTGACATCAGAAAACCGCTCACCCACACGACGCCACACACGCTGTCTGCCATCTGCCCTGAACAGTGAATTCATCCGTGAAGAGAACACCTCTCCAACGTGCCAGACGCCATCGAATGTGAGCATTTGCCCACTCAAGTCAGTTACGACGACGAACCGGAGTCAGGTCGAGAGCTCGAGACCCCGATGAGGACGACGAGCATGCAGATGAGCTTCCCTGAGACGGTTTCTGACAGTTTGTGCAGAAATTCTTTGGTTATGCAAACCGATTGTTGCAGCAGCTGTCCGAGTGGCTGGTCTCAGACGATCTTGGATGTGAACATGCTGGATGTGGAGGTCCTGGGCTGGTGTGGTTACACGTGGTCTGCGGTTGTGAGGCCGGTTGGATGTACTGCCAAATTCTCTGAAACGCCTTTGGAGACGGCTTATGGTAGAGAAATGAACATTCAATTCACGGGCAACAGCTCTGGTGGACATTCCTGCTGTCAGCATGAGAGAAATGGTTATTTTGTGTATATAGAAAATGTTTTAGATCTTTGAGTTCATCTCATGAAAAATGCGAGCAAAAACAAAAGTGTTGCATTTATATTTTTGTTCAGTGTATATGGCTGCGACTCTCACACTTCAACAGGTTTTGAGACGTGAGTGATTGTTCAGTTGCATTACCGCCAAAATCTGGATTGCAGTGTCACCATTGTTCACAAAACCACCATCAAACACTGTATGCCTTATGGTGGCTTGGTGCTCGAGAGAACTCACTTTGCATCGCTGCTGAGTTGATTTCCGTTCTGTCAGACCTGCTCTATCATGCTTTTAGTTGACCTTAAGTTGTTCCATACTGCCAGTCTTTCATGCATCAGGTCTGTGATGTGATATTGTGTTCTTCTTTCTTGGTTGATCACACTCAGTTTGATTGTTGTTTAGATGCCCAACTCTTGATTACTGGACTTAAACTCCCACTGTACATTTTACATTCATATTCTATTTCATTTTGAACAATCCTTTCTTGCACAATAATATCCTGCATTATATCTGTTACTGGACCTTTGTATTTCCACTTGTATATTTTCCACATGTACATATTTCTTATTTTATATTCTTTAACTTTTTGAATTTGTAATGCTATTTTATTTCTATTTCTGAAATATGTTGGACTGTTTATTTATTGTCTTAATTTCTCTTATGTAGATTGCCTTGTGTTTTTGATGCTGCTTCAACGCAAACATTTCCCAAATTGGGATCAATAAAGTAAAGATCTATCTATCTAAGGATTTGCAACATATAATCGAGTATCAGACTAGAAGTAGAAACAACCCACAATGCTTTGTGCAGGGGATATGATCAACAGGGTCCAAGGTTGGTAAGCAGTCTGTCTTTCCTAAATCTACTGATAGCATCAACGTGTTTGTATCTGGGCTTCTACTGTCAACTTTGGGACCTCGATATCATTTTTACCTAGGATATTCAAAAGGGCCTTATCATTATTTCCCCCTGTACTTAAACGTCTTGATTTGGCTACTTAATTTTTCTACCGTAACACAGTGACATCACCATGTAAGACTTGCGCTTCTATTGGCTAGAGTTTCAACACTTTGCACGTGATGGGGCGGGACATCTCTATGTTTGGACTGATCACAACAGAGCTGGCCAGATCCAATCAGTTCAGACTAGGCTCTGGTTTCGGACAGAGGGTGAAAAGAGGTAGGCAGTATGAGAAAAATAAAGACATTTTATAAAAACATCACACAGTAGAGGCACAAAATACAAATATTAACCTGAATATTAGCATTACAGGGTCCATTTGATGTGCCACTTATGGACACTGATTACATTTATAACACATCAAAGGGTTATTTTTAAAGTATCATAAATTCAGATGACGATTAACAACAAAACAATATCAAATGTGTGAAATCTGTAGGGTGTTGAATCCTTCGTACAGCAATGCGTTTTGGGTGTGTGCATGTGTTGTTTTGAGTAGCAAACACATCACTTCACCTAAAATCCCACATGTATGTGATCTAAATCAGAACCTTTCTTGTTGCAAATAAAGAGCCATTCCGTTAATACAAAGGAAGAATTCATGTTTATTGAGTTTTCACAATGTTGTCTCATTAATCTGCTACTGGTTTTACAGTTGGTGTTAAGAGGTCAGTGCACAAAGAAATATAAATCCCTTAATAACAAAGGGAAAAGCTTGACGTGGAATGTACCATTGCTACACATAACCGACTCGTGGAGAAGTAAAAAGGACGCCTGTAAATATAATGGCAAAAAAACACAAAACTAAAAAAAAAAAAAAATGTAAAAAGATCGCTCCATCTTTTAACACCTATATAAATGCAATATCAAACTTTAAAAAAAAATATCACTGTGTCACTTCCTCTCTTTTGTAGCTGCAACGCTGAGAAATCTAAAATGTTTTAGTAAGATTGCACTGCAAGTAGTTTTAGGTCCTTTTAGCTTACATTTCTGAAAGAAAGTGACACCAGAGATCATGGTTCTTTAGGTGGCAAAAGATGGTGCAGCTCAAAGAAAAAAGGGGAGGCAAGTATTTCTGCGTATTTATCTCAATAAATATCTTGCGCTGGGATATCTCGGACATCTCTTCAATACTGCAACTCTCTCCGGATAACATGAGGTACAAAAACACAAGTGTTACCTTATCATCGACTGCAAAGACTACACAGAATTACAATACACGTAACTATTCAACTACGCTCTCCTCAGCTATCAGTCACATAATTCTCACTGTCAAGGTCATGATTTGTGTACCAAGAGATTTTCCTACATACACATGGCGTAAAACAAAGCACAAGTCACACGATGAACTAACAATCGGGGGGTTTGAAAGGACATCACAGTTTAGCAGCTTTAACTACCTGGTTACATAGCCCTAATGCTAACATGTGTGGGTGCTTGAAAGAAAGAAAATCATATTAGAGGTACTTAATCGCCTTGCTATAGAATGTCAGCCTTCATTCACTTTTTTAAAAAAATGCTTAATTTCTCTAGTTTATGCATTATTTGGAGGCATTAGTGCCATTGTTATGCCTTCAAAGCTCTTCAAAATTAGTGTGTGGGTTTTGCAAAGCTCAAAGTTGCACTATAAATACCACCAAAAAGCTGCAACAATACTCCTTCATATGAAAAACAAAACATATCACTCTATGCAGATGACACCCCGCTTGAATCCACAGTCTGGATATCAGAAATTGTCGTCTGGGTTTTCTTCACAATAATTGACCTGGTTGTAAAGCCACTGTGATTCATAGACAAGTCGCTAATCGACACTACATTCTTCCACTCGCACAGCTTGAGTTACTGTTGATTATAGTAAGGCTATGGATCTAGTAATAGTGCCCGTCGAATGTAGTGGTGCTCCGCCTTGCTCATACATCCCCATCCTCGATGCGAGCTAGCTGCCTCTCCAGCAACTCGATTCTCTGGCTCTGAGCGAGGACGACAGCCCGCAACGCCTTCATCTCTGCTAACAACTCGTTCAGCAAATCCTCCTGAAAGAAAGGAGGGAAAAGGTCAGCAATCTACTTTCAAAGTGAACACATTATGCTCATTTTCAGGTACATAGTTGTACTTTGTGCCGCAACTGTGGCATGTTTCCATGCTTTAATGTTCAAAAAGGCTCTGTTGTGATGGGCAACTGCTTAAGAGATGCGTCGGAAATATCTTGGCCCTTAGAATATCACGTACAATGTGTTGGAGCACGAGCCAATAGAAGCGCCAGTAAACAAAGGTGTCCAATGGCGGTGTTTCAAGCAGGGAGGAGGGTGTAGGGTGTGGGAGAGAAACTCCCTCTGGAGGAAACTTTGGGGTGTGAGCCCTTGCAGACCACTTAGATGCACAACAAAAACTATACAACACACTACAGGAAAAGGAAAGCCACAAAAAGCATGATAGGGCCCACTTTAATTTGCACAGCCTTTTTTAACCAAGAAAAACAACTCAATCTTGACTATATCTAGTCTGAAATCGCAATATCAATATTATATCAATAAACTGGCCGGCTCTAATGACTCTCTCCACTCACCTCTCTCTTCGGTCTCTCTGCATTTCCATCCGTCTCTCTCGTGTTTACTCGTGGCACCTCTTCTTCCGCAGAGTGCGATGTGGGAGCGGCTGCATTCGAAGGCGTGGCGTTCCCAGAGTCCTGCGGGGCCAGCTTGGGTTTGCTTTTGAGGATTTCTCTGTGCTTGGATTGAGGAGCTGCGTACCCGCCGCTCAGAGAGACCAACAGGGGCGAGGCATCCTGCCCAGCGATCCACTCATCAGCCAGGAGAGCCGGCTCTGACCCAGCTGTGTCCGGGTAGAGGTCTCCCTGAAACAGATCTGACTGGGAGGCAAGATGGAGACAGAACATTGTTTTCATTATACAGTTATGGATCGACTTCGCAGGCATTTTCTTATCCAAGCAACATAAATGGATCCTTTTTTGATAGGTTTGACTTTTTAAAAGCTTACCTTTCGTGGTACAGTCATAGAAATGGGTTCCACTTTCCTTTCATGCAGTTTGTAGAACCTAAAGAGAACCAGGAAATGTCAGGGTAAGGCTGGTGTATACAATATTTTCTTTTTATATAAACAAACACCATGAGAAGACCCAACCTCAGAAACATGTCACTGAATGCTTTAATACTTATTGATGATAACGCTGGCACTTCAGCCCAATTATTCCTACAATCCATTACATCATTTCTACACGGATCAGTAACTTCCTTAAAAAGCTGGGCTCTGTAGTTTTAACAAACACAACTCAAGCTTTATTAATATTGAATTATTTGGGGAATATTTTCAGCTACAGACTAATAGACATTTGGTATAACATGTAGTATATATAGTTAATATTTTATGGGCAATGGAAGAACGTTGTGTTTTTGTAATAGATTGTTGACAACAATTCGTTCTATGGCACGTATGGATAAGTTATGAGAGGGTTCGGCTATACTGACAATAGAAAGTAGGATTAAGGATTAAGGATGGACTAAATTGACAATGATTACAAAATATCTATCACTTAGCCCTTTAAAACTATGTTAAACTAATTAGAAACATTTTTTTTAAAAGCATGACTGGACATATTTACCTGGCAATTTCACACTTGTTGACATCGACACCTCTTTTGCTAAGAAATCCGGCACCTCTCTGAGGCTCCTTGCTGCTGTATAAACTGAGGAAGTGAACATACGGGGACTCGTCTGTCACTTCAAAATACCGGATGGTGCAGTCCCCCTGAAAGCCAGAAGACCATGTGATCAAGACGACTGAACCCAAAATGAAGTAAATCAGTGTTTTCTGTAAATCTGTACCTTTCCACACAGGTACACCATGTTGGTATCAGGGTCATAAAAGGGTAGAAGAACTCCATTACTTGTATCCATCTCCTGTACTGCCATTGGCTCAGACAGATCTTTCTGTACAGAGACAAAAACAAAATAAATATTGATTAAACACTACTTGTACACAAAATATACATTCAACCCACCTCACAAAAAACCTTTGCTATGGTAAGTTAAGGTTAGATCTTAGAAAGTATACATTCACAACAAGTCTGTTTAAAACTAAAAAAAATAGGTGCCCATTGAAACACTTGTTGCTTGCTGAAGATACAACCTGTTCTTAACGCACCTCCAGTGTAAGAGTTGTGGGACAATACTGCTCTTGTAACGCAAACATGTATTCCAAATCTGATCTGAATCCAAGACGCAGCTTAAAAAGGTAGCAGTGGTCCGTAGATATCTGGCAAAGCTAGTGTTAGCAATAAATCCCTCTTTGTGTTACCTTCCCTTAAGCTCAACACAGAAACACTGTCCAGGGAAACACAAACGATGTACTGGAAAGGTCGTAACTCACTGAAGCCTCACATTAACTGAGATAAAGAAGAAGAATTGGGAGGGATGAAACCTTTTTTTAATGGTCACACATGCAGAGCACACAGCACACACAGTGACATGTGTTCTCTGCTTTTAACCCATCCTAGTACCAGGAGTCTACTAGGAGCAGTGGGCAGCTATTGTACAGCGCCCGGGGAGCAATGGGAGTGAGGGGGGATGTCCGGTGCCTTGCTCAAGGGCACCACGGCAGGGCAGGAGGTGAACTGGGACCTCTCCAAGTAGCAGTGCACAAACTACATGTCCATCAACCGGCACACCCTTATTTTGTCTTGATAAATAAACAAACTCTACTTTGCACTGCAGAATCGTTCAATATGAACAACATGTATTGCACTTACCGGATCCCACAATGCCATCTGTCTCTCACTCATCCGGCTGAAGCCTGTGGTCAGGATCTTCCCATCAGAGAGGAACACTGCTCTCATTGGCCTGGTGCCATCATGGACCTTCTCTTTCACCTAGGCAAACAATGAGATGGTACATTCCCTATGTGGAAGCTTCATACCATAGAAAGACCCAGCAAAGAAGCACTATAGGACTGTTTTAGTGTCATCACCTTGAGGACGGTGCCGCGTCGCGGGTCGATGACTCGCAGAGCCTTGTCCTTGCAGACGGTGCACACAGCGCTGCCGTCCTTGTTCCAGCAGACACTGTAAATCATATCTGGGTGGGCATCACTCAGCTGGTACACAAGCTCGCCTGTGCCCACGTTCCACACACAGATCACATTATCGCAGCCTGCAGAGAGGAAGACACAACATCCATTAGAGCTTTAAAGCAGACAAAGTATAAGTGTATTTCCCCATGGTCTCTATTTGAGTGTTCTTTAAGACTACCTCCAGAACACGCACATTCTGTTCTGATTGGTCACTGTTTATTATGGCAGTCAGGGAATGACAGTAAAGGAGCGTAGCCTCACTTTCTATTTATATAAATTACACTGTTAGTGTGTCGTGAAAACTAAATGGAAGTCCTGACTCCTATTTAAAAACAGCCCAGCTACTGAATACTGGCTTGGGGCATTTCTCCATGGACAATTTTAAAGTGTCAACATGGACCCTAGAAAAAGAAACCTCCCTTTTCATAATATGGATATTTTAAGAGAATAAATACTAAATAAAGGAACAGAAAGGAGATTGCTGCCTCGGCTATATACTGAGTTTAAAAACTGATGTATGTGGAGCAATGCCATTAAGAGCTATATATCATGATGAGTAATAAGCAATAGTTTTAAAGGACAACTTAAAGAATGGTTGAGCAACAAACCGACCGCTAAATGCACTTTAACACAGGGGTATCTCCTCTTGCACCTTATATGTCGTAGCTGCTACATTGTACTGCCATGTGGTAAATGCTTGTATGCTGCTCATGCTCTTCCTGCATGTCATGTATTTATTTTTGTTTTGAATATAAATGTCATGTTCTTATATGTTGTATGTGACGGGACTACGGATGGAAATGAGCTCAAAGCTAAAATCCGGCTCATTTACACTTGTGAGCATTATTTTGTTTTAAAGTGTTCATCAATGTGCGCTGTCCCGGTTCAAATAAACCATTACATGAAAAAGAAATGAGCAGTGTGTGTTTTGGGATACATATGCCGACACATAAAACAATCAAACATATCTTTGCAGCAAAGTGTAATTATTTTTCAAGTTTATCACACCTTTCTCTCTCCGTTATACTTCCATTACATGTTATGGATTGCTAATTGGCTAAATCGATTTCCTGGCTTGTATAAGGCAGTATTATTAAAATCTATCACTGAACACCAACACAGTAAGATAAGAGCTGTTCTTTAATACACACTATTTACAAAGAAGAAGAGTATCTGGATAATGTGTAGTGTTTACGACATGGATACAAAAACAAGTAAAGTTTGCAACCATGTCGTAGTTTTTGTTAAATGTTGTTAAAAAGTGAGCATCAATGCTTGTTGAATGACAACGAGTTGAATGTAATAAAGAAACTCCTTTGATATGGTCTGCCAGCACACACCCTTCTTTTAGTTTTCTATGTAAATGTATGTAAAACACATTATAAACCACATTGGGCTTTTTGCATGATGGTACACTTTAATTCATGCTCCCTACAGTGAGTAATGCCAACAAGGTATATTTCAGCAGTCACAGACAATCTAAGCAGTCTTTTAAAAAGCCATTACAGGGCACCAGGATGTGATGAATGGCGTTACCTGCAGTCATGAGGATGTTGAAGGCAGTTGGGTGCCAAGCCAGGATTCCCACTCTTTTACTGTGTCCTTCGAGGGTCACAATGGCCTCAGTCATGGGGCTCGTCAGGCCTCCGTCTGGTATCTGCCACACCTTCAAACCACCAGACACAGCAGACGTATGAATGCGATTCATTCAGGTGCACGAGGGCTACTGATGTGTTTGTGATGCATTGACATATAATAGGTTTTTGGTCAAATTAAACACCCTTAAGGCAGAGCAAGGAAAAAAAAGTTTAATTGATCCGAACTACTCTCATGGAGTTTGAGGTCAGTTAGCGTTTGTAACCCATTCACAAATATGGAGGAATATAGGAAAAGTGTTTTTCCTTGTTCTGGAATAGTTTAACATTTTAAAATCTATCTTATTAGCTTCCTTGCTAAGACTTAGATGTTACGTTTGATACCACTTATGCCCGTTTGGTTAATATGAAGCTACAGCAACGAAACCATTTCTTATGTTACCTTATATGGTAAAACCAAATGCTTCTAAAAAGCATTGTCTAACACTACTGTACCATTTCTTCATATGTGCTGTTTTCTGTTTTTCTCAAGCGCTTCAAGGCCACAGAGCTGATTTGGCAGACTATGTTGAAACTACTCCTCTTCACACAAAGCTTGAACTTCCATAATCTGATAACCGTTATACTTTCTACAGCTCAAGGACACAGGTGTCTAATAACAATATGAGACATCCGTGTGAAAGCAGATTTCTGAGGCGTTCCGCCATGCTACACAAAACTCTGTCTGCCCGCCCTATCTTGTATAAACTTTGCTATTCTGTGACTATTGCGCACACTCCTGCAGACTATCCTATACTCTGAGACCTGTGCCTTCGAGGCGTCTCGAATAAAGAACCAGAAAGACAACTCTGTTTGTTTCACCAGTTTATTGATTGATCATTCTAATTGTATATCTCCACAGTATTGACTAGGTAAAAGATTTCCATAACATAGCTTAGCATAAAGACTAGGGGGAAAAGATAGTGTAGAGGCTAAGCCAACGCTTTATGCCTCTGAGGATCCGCTTTGTTGGTGTAATTGACGCACACCTTGTTTGCTGCCGAATAAAAGTCAGAAACAAAGTTTCCAGTTCGAAACAGTCCATTAATTTCCCTTTTTACTGGTTTCTTCCCATCATTCACCACACGATATTACGGTTTACGCAATACCTTTTCTGTTTGTTTGTAATCCCGTGTGTGTGTGTTCTCCGTGTGTAGTGTGTGTGTGTGTGTGTGTGTGTTCTCCGTGTGTAGTGTGTGTGTGTGTTCTCCGTGTGTGGTCAAAAACTGTATGGCCTTCCGGCGGAACCCCTCACCAACAAACATAGGTTCCTACCTTTATACCCAGTGTTAATTGGCTCCTACAGATAGCTTGACTAGTTCACCACATAATCCCTTGTAAAACAACAACACATTGTCATTGTATCAACATTTGAGTAAAATAAATAAAATATGACCTGTTAGTAGTTATACACATACCACTTTCGTCTCATTAGTATGCATAGAAAGTGACAGGTCACACCTCTCCCTACTTATTAAGCCCCGCCCACTTCCGGCTAAACCCCGCCCACTTCCGGCTAAGCCCCGCCCACTTCCACCGGAAGTCCCGCCCACTTCCACCGGAAGTCCCGCCCCATAAGCCCCGCCCCTTCCACCGGAAGTCCCGCCCCCACTTCCGGTTTTTCAAAATAAAATTAAAAAATATTTTAAAAATGATAAAAATAAAAATGCTGCCCCTACCGGTCACCCCCACTTCCGGTTTTTCAAAAATAAAATTAAAAAATATTTTAAAAATGATAAAAATAAAAATGCTGCCACTACCGGTCGCCCCCCGCTTCCGGTTTTCAAAATAAAATAACATGAAATGTAACAACCATATATTTTAAAAGTAATGTCTCAGCTCTAAAGAGCAAGGTCCCGCCACCTAACCACTTCCTGTGCCCCTGTATACAGCAGTATTGACTGTAACTTACAAATACTTGCAAATAACATGAAATATACAACCATATATTTTAAAAGTAATGTCTCAACTCTAAAGAGCAAGGCCCCGCCACCTAACCACTTCCTGTGCCCCTGTATACAGCAGTATTGACTGTAACTTACAAATACTTGCAAATAACAAGAAATATACAACCATATATTTTTAAAAGTACTGTCAATCTCACTAACTCTCTCTCGCTCTCTGCTATTCTCTGCCGTGAAAAGTTTGGTGAACAGTCAAGACAGGTGTGGGAACCATAAAACCCCCAGACATCCTCTGCGGGACAAATGGTGGGGCGATGGGGAGGACACACACACACACACACACACACACACACACACACACACACCACTCACCCCCTCTTCCGTTCAGGATGTTTCTTTTCAAGTTTTTGTGAAACTGCTAAAGAAGTATTTGTTTTGCAAAAGAGGTTATTTTCAAAGATCTTATTTAGGTTTTAATAGTGATACCTAAGGGTATTCTCTTTCAGTATATGGATTTGTGAACTAATGTGTAATTACTTTTATTAACTATAATTGCACAGGATCATTCTAAGAAGAGTGAGAGGGCTAATGAGCCAGCACCATACCTCCTCTATGCATTTTCTTGACCTGTATCTGATCATGAAAAACTTGACTCTTTTTAAAAAAGTTATTTTTTCATCTATCATTTTCAACCATGCAACAAGAGATCAAATTTAAGAATAAGTAATAGTTTGTCACGATTTTACGGGAAATAGTCAGTGCGCAATGTCACATCTTAAAGACAGCTTTAACTGGATAAATGGTTAGTCTTTTTTTCAAAACATACCGTACGTTCTGCATGTTAGTATATTTGGTCAATCGATTAGACCCTACTGCCCTAGACGCATGCCCTCAATAGGGAAGTCACGCTTTGGGAAGAGGTGTTTCATTTCACAGATCCACCTTGATTTGTTGTTGTGAGGGGTGAAGGAAGAGGGACGGGGGAGGAAAATTCAGAGGATGAAAAAGCAGAAAACATAACTTGTTTTTGTAAAACGGTCAGCACGTCAGTTTCAAGAAAGACGTTTGCATACATAAAAAAGTGTATCTTACAGTTCCTTTTGTGAGAGAATTACACACAAATCTGCAGAGTGTCACTAAAAGTTGTAACACAGGGACTGACATTCTGTATGGGGTTTCACACGGACACAAAGTCTACTTCATTATCTACTTTGTCAGCTTTTATACACAAAAGTGTATCTTTCAGTAACTTTCTCAGAGAATTTAAGCATAAATCTGTCAAAGATTCTTAACGAAATCTACTTCATTATCTACTTTGTCAGCTTTTATACACAAAAGTGTATCTTTCAGTAACTTTCTCAGAGAATTTAAGCATAAATCTGTCAAAGATTCTTAACGAAATCTACTTCATTATCTACTTTTCAGCTTTTATACACAAAAGTGTATCCTTCAGTAACTTTCTCAGAGAATTTAAGCACGTCAGTTTCAAGAAAGACGACAATAATTAGTAGTTAGACATTTTGGAGAAATGTTCTCTGTCGTTCTTAATGCAAAAACAAATCATCTCTACTCCCTTTGGGTGAAGTCCAGGAATGTTCTCGGGGGGAGTGGACACTTGCTGTTACATGGCATAAAGCTTCTGCAGTGTGCCAATAAATGTATAGTTTCCCTAAAGCTCCATACATTTACACATATTGACTAATGACTCAGCACATGAGGGGTAAATACAAAACAAATCTAAATATCACCAATTATTCCAGAATGTGACTAGAATAGAGTCTAGAGAATGGACCCAGGCTTTGTCTTCAGCCATCAACTAAATAGGGGCGTGCTTTTTTTTTTTGAATCACCAGTATGTTACTCACCATTGAAGACAGTGTTGAGGGGGCAAGCAAAGTGTACTCAGCGGCAGATTGCATGGAAGCAGAAAGGCCTGGCTCAGACACCATGTATCCAAAGGTTGACGGGGAACTTCCAACCAGTTCCATCACCTGTTTAGCTTGAGGGAATTTAAACACCATTCAAAATATGGATTACAGAAAAACAATATATGTAGTAAATCGGGTAATCATTAATAAGGGGAAAATGTGCAAGTCTAACCTGAGTCTGGCATGAGCACTTGATCAATAAGGTGGATGACAATGTCCTTCTTGAGCACCATCTTGATGCCATTGACTGTTAAACTCTCGCCATCACAGCCTTGAAATCAAAGTAACGCTTCTAAAAACATATATTTTAGAAAAGTAATGTTAGTCATGTCAAGTTATCAAGACTGCTGTGTTTCATCGAAACAGTGTACAGAGCAGAAAGGGGAACATTTGTCGCCACATTAACATACCGACTCCTCTATCAGTTTTTGCATACATAAAAAGTGTATCTTACAGTTCCTTTTGTGAGAGAATTACACACAAATCTGCAGAGTGTCACTAAAAAGTTTTACACAGGGACTGACATTCTGTATGAGGGTTTCACACCTGAGCTGCTGGGGGGAGGGCGTTGAAAAGGGGGTGAGTATGTTTGGCTCTCTGGTGTGTTAAGAGTCACAGTCTTAAAGAAAAATCTGGTCAGAAAAAGTACTTAACTTTCTACCAGTTGTAAATTGTCTTACATATAAAAAAAGTAAGAGACTTACTGTTTCCTTTGTGAGAGAATTACACATAAATCTGCAGAGTGTCTGTAAAAAGTCTCAAAATCACAAACTGCAGACGCCTCAAGGAGAGACTTGAAAAGATCCATGCCGAGTGGGGGGAGAAGAAGAAGACTAATAACCAGCAGTTGACTGAAGCCAGGGACTTTTTTCTTTAAAGTAAAATAAAAATGGGAAACTACTATGCAAAACGCTCTGTATATATTGATCAGAATGTAGTCAATACCCTTTTAATAAGTGTGGTGATGAGGACGATTGAAAACAGAACGAGTAGTGACCCCTGTGTAAACAGAATGGCTGAAGTTTGTAAACTAGAAGACATTTTGGCTATCGTGCGTTCTGGCAGTACTATCCCCGGTCATTGGGAAACGATTGTAAACGAAACATTTAAAGTGGTCCTGGAATCTTCATTTTCCGAAACATTCTGTAACATTATCTCAGAAATGAAACAAACATCAAAAGTGTATCATGTGCTATCAGT